GGCGAATTACGTGAATAAAGCTTATCAAATGATATAAATTTGCTGCAGTTTTGCCTACCTTTGTTTACCAGTCTTCAATTTTTCAACGAATCGCTTCTCATGGTTTCACGAAAACTGGTACTATCGTTAATTGAAAGCCTATCCAATATGACCCTGAGCATGAATCAAATTAAGGCAAACAAGCAGTGTGGTACAATTCTTGATATCTTGAACGTTAGTTTCATGCACTTTATCATAACTAATACATCAGGTTCTAGCACCTGTGGAGGAACACATCGTAATTGTATGAAGTCTACAACTAAATTACATTTTTAGGACAAACTCTCTAACGTTCTCGTTGCTCTGACGAGTTACGTTATGAAATTTGGCTGTTTCACGACATTAGTAATAAGTACACTCCACACGATTTAGTAGTAATTCTTCGAGAGTTTCTTGAGGAAGTGAAATAGGCTTACGTGGAAGTGTCAAAATGTTTAGTAAGCTGCAGGCATGCATTCCGATAAATGTAAGGAAATGGACTACAATTTTGTCATCTTTAATTTTTTTTCTGATCATACCACAGATTTCAAACTATCAAACATGATTTTCAAAAACTTTAGAACTTGAACATATCCAATTATTCAGTCGCAGTCTCCATCGCAACAGAAACGTGACAACTGAAAGTATTCAAACAGATTTTCCAACTGAAAATTCACGAAATAATGCAATTCAAGGCAAGTAGTCTTACGTCCTTGATCCGTCTACTCAGTAGTATACGGGAAAGAATTTGTCGTAATATAGGTTAAGGCTTTGATACAACAAGAAAACTGGTTTAACTCTGAAGATAGAAATGAGAGAGTGTGAACTGAGAGCGAACATATTTTGTCACCTGACTGGTTGACAATCAAGAGAGAGAGAGATGAGTCAACTTGGACACCACTCGATTCATTCCCGTTCCCGATTAGCGTAAAATAGACATGATAGAACTACCTTGACACAACTGGACGTATTATTCATTTTTGGATAGGTTGTTTTAATCTCCCAATGATGTATAGGAAAACAATTGGTCGGTCTTCTTCTGGCACAGGATGCGCAAATGCCAGAAAGACACCGACCAGTTGCATTTCCGAGCATCAATGAGAAGATTCAAACAACCAGTGTAAAAATGAATTAAACTTCACCTCATTCCATAGGCTAATGGCTATCTACTACATGCAAATGGATAACACGATGGAGTTTGATGTGTTTGGTACTGGGTTTGAGTCCCAGAGTGAACATTACCTCTGGTATGCAGGTACGTCCAGCTGATGACTCCCAAATGGGACAAAATGCACGTCTGAAATTCCACTGCTGGACACTATCCATCTCTGCTTATGATGAAAGAACTAGGTTTGGGATTCATTATAAGGGCGCAGTCAAGTACATCGTAATCATTAACTAGTATGAATACCTTAGGAAAAAACAGGCCATATCCAAATGCTCTTCCAGCATGTATTAACACAGTTCCTCAATGGAGAGTCTTGAAACGATAACTCTCGATTACTGTGTACTCACTTATGGCTTATTATCTTCTGCCCGGAACAAATGTACCTGTTGTATGTGCAGTTGAGTATTTGTCCTGCTCACAACAGGTTATGCGTTGAAAGTATATTTATACTTGTCTGAGGTATGGTTCTCATATTCGAACTATTCACGTTGTCGAGCCTTGCAGTATGTGAGTAATTTTCATAATATTTGTATACGTATGTTCCACCATGTCATGTTTGATGTCATTACGAACGAGATACTTGAGAAGGATGAGGACGCCTCCTAAGTTACCTATACCAAGCCAGACTACATGACCATGAGGAAGAGTATTCAACACCCCCTATGGCTACGGTTTTTGTTGGAGGCTAACTGTGAATGACCATCCGAAGTTAGTTAGACATGATTCAGGGTAAGTAAACACATGGAAAGCAAAGATCCGGGGTTAAGAGAAGCACAGAACGCTTGCCAGAAGCCAAAGGAGAGCCTGGTATAAGTGGAATGACTCCTTGAAGAAACTGATAAAATTTCTTAATCGGCATTGAAAAATAGATACAAACTCCGAGATTATGGGAAATGTTTTCAGGTGAAGCTCGCAGTCGAAATACAAGCTAATTCTAAACATCTCTTAGGATTCATGACTAAGAGAAAGCCTTTAAACCAGGGAATTTTCACTCTTAAAGAGTCAAATAGCAAAGATCTTACTAACTAAGAGATAGCTGACATCTTTAGTGCCAACTTCACAGACAAGCTAAACTAGCAGCCTGCAAGCGTTGACACCGGAATTCCAGTAACACCTGAGGTCTGGGAGATATCCAACTAACTCTTGAACTAATATTAAATGAGCTGGAATCCTTACGTTTAAGAAAGTCATCAAGATATGACAGCATCCCACTGAATATCCTGAAACAGTGCGCAAAAGCAATCAGTGCAGCGGTGTGTGACCTGCTCAGGCACCCTTTAGATCCATGACAACTACAAGGAGGTCACAGCATCAGAACTTTAACAAGAAACAATCTTAGGTTCACTCCTGTTCTTGATCTTTACCAACTGTCTTCTAGGCAAAATTAGCTCGAGGGCACTGGACTACGTAAACGACGCAAAGATCTGGGGGTTAATACGGAGCGAAAAGGATTCCCTTGAGCTTATAAAGGACCTTACAACAATAGGGGAATAAGAAGCAGACGTTGGGTTGAAACTTGACCTGCCGAAATGTCAACCCATGGACATTCTGCCTCAGTCGATACAAAACACTGACACCGTTCATGGGAATCCGCCCTCGATTGCCTTTTCAGAACATGATATTGGGTTTGTAACCGCAAACAGACTAGACACTAATTCAAATTACACATGGGCTACAGCCAAAGAAAACTTAACTTACTAGTTAATGGTTGGACAACTGGATTTGATCACTCCAACACTGTTTAGAATGTACGAACGGTCACATCTTAAAGTTCATACAGTCCTTGAGCCTCCTTTCTTCACAAGAGATATAGATCTAGTACGAAGACGGGCAACCAAGTGGGTGATAGATCTTAAACATAAACCCTACAAGGACAAATTCCAGCACTTCGGATTAGCCGTTTTGAGCTACAGGAGAACATAAGGTGATATAATGATAGGATATGAAATATTCGATATTCCAAACCACCCCAAAACGAGCATATTATCAAAACATCATCGTTATGCTCCTTGATGCAATCCTCCAAAGATTGCACATAAAAAATACCCAGGTAGTCTCTCACTCTCTCTCATCAAGATTTACTCCGTCTGGGATGATCACAGACCCTCATTCGATAGCTAAGAAAATAGACTTCATAAACATGTGCTCACTCATCGAATAACGTCCCCATGTTGAACCTGCTGTGTCTGATGCATGTCTCAAAAATCACCACAGTTATCGTTACCATATAATTATAAACCACTTACGACCCGCCTTATGATCATCCCTGTTTCCCCTCTTCTTCTTACAGATTACAAATTAATTACTTTACTCACTTATCTTCTGAAACAGTCATCTCTTGGCGCTCAAATAATCGACTTACCACTCCAGCACTACAAACAACGACTAGGATACCATACATTAGATATTATCAAATAAATGAAACCGTCGTGAAACAACAAGAAGTGAAAGCAAATAAATCTATTGGTTTGTGAACCCTTTTGATGAATATATTGAAAATTGGATCTGGAATTTGCTGCGGTACGGCTCTAATATTTGAATTACTCACGTTGTCTAGCTTTGATTTTTGTGAGTATTTTTCCTAATATTTTTATATGTATGTACCTTACGTGACACTGTACATTACAATTGCTTTAATCCGTTAATGTGATATATGTTTGGTGGTTATTAATAAAGCCAACATGTGGGTTGTAACTATTAATTGCGTAATGATAAGTCAGATCACCTGTAAACTTTTCATCCTCAGGGTAAAGACAGGTCTTGAGATGCTTGATTCCATCACTTTTTAACACATAGATAGTGAAATGTAGTTAGGTTTTCATATTGGCAGAAAGTATGTGTGAGTATAAGTGTTCACTTTATTTTTAAAATAAACCGATTACACTAACTTCCGAACAGTAATTAATAAAGACAGATTGATTGCCAGTTGCCTTCAATCAACCCAATGTCGTCCCGTTTCGACAGTTAGCTCGATATCGTAAAACCCTGTTTAAATTACTTCACTGTTGCATCACATAAAAATTTCTGTCAAACTAATGACTCAGTTCGTAATTACGTTGTATCAAGCCTCTGTAAACCCTATTGCTTCATAGTACGGTTCGACTGATTGTATAGGTGCGTAGTGGCGTGCTGGCCTGCTCATAACTGTAGTGATCAGCCGTACACCTCGATTTGACATTGGAAAATAGTTGCTAGACAATATTGTAGCTTGAACAAATTTACTTGAAATGTATAATTTTATTAATGCATCCGTATTCACAGACATTTTTACTTATGTTTAATAATTCATCTGATAAATGCTTTCTTAGTTTGTTTTATTGTCAGTCACTAAGATGGTACAAGGTCTATCTGGCCTATCTTATGAAGACAGACTGAGACACCTTAACTTATTTCCGTTATCTTACAGTAGAATACGGGTGGTCTAATATTGGCCTGTCGTATACTGAACGATGACCTTGGTATTAACATGTCCTATCTTTTGCTTCCGTCTAGAACCGCTCATTTGAGAGGACATTCGAAGAAAGTTCAAAAACCGAGATCAAACCGTTTACGTCTGGAGTTCCGTTTCTCGCACCGAGTAGTGAATTACTGGAATTCTCTACCGGAACACGTAATATCAGCACCGTCTGTTAATATATTCAAAACGAGGTTGGACCTCCACAGTATTACAAACTGCAAGGATTAATATAGGTCGATAGACCTATCCTTATTACTGAAGACTAATGACAATTGCATTACATGGGGTGTGACGATTTACGGTCATTAATTTTTCATTGGTACTTATAAGTGGTTCTAATCAAACCCATGTAATTGTATGGTAGTAAATTAAAGGGTATTTCACACATAGATAACGTTCTCGAAAATATGCTTTAATAATTAGTGTGGATACAGGTACAGAACTGGTAATTCAACGACCAGTTTTCCACTTCTACATTTGTTTCACGCTCAACGCCATTGCGTAAATGCAAGCTCATCATGTTCCAACAAATTAGTTATACCAAATATCATTATTCTAAAACTTCATTGATGATATTAGTTTGGTAACTTGCATCCTTTAAGTGATTCTGGTCATTTTACTGCAATGATCCAAACATCATTCCATGATGTTAGTTACAACAATCATCAAGCTTCCGACGATTTCCTTTCCCGACAGCATAAACTCAGAGGTTTATCAAACGCCAATCGAAAACTACATTTGATTTCAGTTTGTTTGACAATCACATCGAAACAAGCTACACGATACCGAACCTCTACATTACTAACATGGCATGTGTTCGGTTACAACGATGATAGTGTAACTACCCTGAAACATCGACTTCGGTGGCTTGGACACGTCTTACGAATGTCGTGTCAGAGATTCCACGTCGCGCATTGTTTGCCGACACTGGGACCAGCTGGAAAACCGGAGAGGTGGTTAGGTTGTGTCATGGTATCATGGTATAAAAGATGTACAGAACTGGTTTCTGTTGGTCCTTCACGATTCTCTGGTTGGGGTCCTAGAGATGGTGCAACACAGTGGCTTGAGACGTAATCAGACATGGTTCAAAATAGAAGCTAGTGGCGGTCCAGTCGTAACTTTCTTTTACTTTCTTCATAAACAATGACGTAACTTTAACTGAAAGGATTCCTTCTGATTGTGTTTTGTCAACTAAATTGCCTCTCCTATTATTATTTCACTTTCACACACTAATTTCTGTTCGTCGTTCTCCTTTTTCTTATACGCACTTTACATTCTCTAACTCTTCATAACATTGTTATTGTCTGACGCATATGCATTTGCTGCCCCACTTGTACCGATATTTGCGTGTTCAAATAAATAAAATAAAATGTGGTCAATGGAAAAAGATGGTTATGCGCCCCCACTGCCTGTTTTGTTTATGTACAGAGCCTTCAAAATGTTTGTGAAATTCACAGACACCCTTTCTCAGCAACCGAAAAGTGGCCCTGTTATTAAGAAACAGCAATTGTTAACCTGCTGAAAGTATGTTAGTACCGTAGCATTCGGCACAGTGTAAACATATGGTCAACAAATCCACGACCAGAACAAAAGCCAATCTATTTCTTGTAAAATAGTCTTTTATTGGCTTTGATCATTCCATGAATTATGGTAGTTTAGACCCAGTCGAAAGTAAACTTATTCCCCTATATTTGTTCCTAGATGATGCAAGCCTTAAAGATCAGGAGGTAAGTTGTCCATGTTTATGCCGCTTCAAGAGTTTGAGTTCCTTCTGGACTCTTCCCGTTAGGTTTTATAGTTATCACTGGCAATGGACAACAGGATAATTTAATTGATGTTGCTAAGACAGCAGACCAGCTGAACGTTTCTCAAAACACTTCTGATCGTTGAAGACGTCACTAGGTGTTACTAATTAGCGTTTTATCACCCTCACAGATTGTCCCCCCAAATGCTCTCACATGACCACGTGCATACAACCACTGCCACGAAAGTCCTGCTCACTACCTTCTCCTGGCATTACTGTTGGTTACGAAACTGAGAGGACGAAAAGCAAATGTCCGGCACTTTAATTGGGTCGGTGGATATGAAGGACCCACCTAGGGGAGTTAGGAAACCCTGATTCCAAACCAGTGGTGCACATGAGCTTCAGGATCCCGAATGAATAAATAGTGTATGAACCAATTGTCGGTCACGTGCTACCGTGGTACTGCATCTCCTCACGTTTCTCCACTGCCTTGTGGGTCAGGCCTTTAATGAAAAGGCTCCGGGTGTGGCTCCCTAAGAGAACCGCCTGCTTAGGTTTGGGTAACGGGCTAGTATACCTGCCCTCACATGAATCGAATGATTTATGCGGCGTATATCTATTTGGTGCCTTGTACCAATGTTTGTTCAAATAAATAAATAAACCACTTACACCATGGTTTTTAGTACCATTGGTTCAAATGAGTTAAAACATTTTCCGGAAGTTACAGTATGCATCGGTCGTTTTCGACTCGTTAGCTTGCTCCAATCTCAAGGTTTCTCTGTCCTTGCGGAAACTTTGGACCTTCCCCTGTCGTAAGAATCCACATTTATCAACAAATCTGCACTTAGCCCGAGTGAGCCGACGTGTCTCGAAAAGATTTATAAAGCTTGCAGAAGCCTGGTGCTTATAAATAGGACATTTTGCACAACCACAAGAGGCGGGACTCTTTATTTTTACTGGCGTCAGGAAAAGACACCTAATACTCATCTACACTTCTCGGTAGACTGGCTACTAACCTTAGAGGTAACTCTTTAATATTTGGTTGCAGCAAAAGCTGCAGCCAATATCCATAGGCATAAAGAGTTCATCAATTTGTGTGTGGGCTGTGATACTGCCCGGGTGCCCAAACCGAAGCAGGTGGTTATCTTAGGGGGCCACTCCCGAGCCTTTGACCTAAAGGTCTAACCCACAAGGCAGTGGAGCATCGTAAGGAGATGCAGTCCCATGGTAGCCGGTGACCAACGATTGGTTCATACGCCATTTGTTCCCGCAGGATACTGGAGCCCATGTGCACCATTGATTTGGAATCCGGTTAAAGCGCCGGACATTCGCTTTGTTTACAAAGGTTTGGGAACTAGAGTGTGTACCAACGTCATGGAATGAGTCGATAGTTGTCCCTATCTTTAAAAAGGGTTCACGTCGTTCCTGTAACAACTATCGGGGGATAAGTCTACTTCCGATTGCGTCCAAGCTATTGGCTTCCGTCATACTTCGTAGGTTGTTCAAAACCCGAGAAAGATTGACTCGCGAGGAGCAGGCTGGGTTTCGTTCTGGTCGAGGATGTATTGATCATATCTTCACCCTCCGCCAAATGTTAGAACACCGCCATACTTATCAAAGGCCAACAATCGTAGTGTTTCTTGACATCAGGGCTGCCTTCGATTCGTTGGACAGGACTGTTCTCTGGGATTGTCTATTGAAGAAGGGTGTGCCTGAGAAGTTTATTAACATCCTAAAAGCCCTATATAAAAACACCTCAGGCAGAGTGAGGGCATACAACCACCTCTCTCCATTGTTCCATTCGAGCAGTGGGGTTAGGCAGGGTTGCCCAATCTCACCATTCCTCTTCAACTTTGCCATCGATGACATTCTGGAAACAGCTCTGATGAATGTAAGTAATGGTGGTGTGGATCTGTTGCCTGGAGAAAGACTTCTCGACCTTGAGTATGCGGACGATATTGTCTTACTGTGCGATAATGCCCAAGGCATGCAATCCGCACTTAATCAGTTGGCAATCAGTGTCCGTAGGTATGGTATGTGCTTTGCACCTTCGAAGTGCAAAGTACTTCTACAAGACTGGCAGGATTCCAATCCTGTACTCACCCTGGATGGTGAGCAGATAGACGTAGTTGAGAAGTTCGTGTATCTGGGTAGCTGCATAAGTGCTGGTGGGGGTGTGAGTGATGAGATCAATGCACGTATAGTGAAAGCCAGAGCGGCTTATGCCAATCTGGGCCACCTTTGGCGCCTTCGTGATGTTAGTCTGGCTGTAAAAGGTCGGATCTACAACGCGTCGGTGAGAGCAGTTTTGCTCTATGCTTGTGAAACCTGGCCTCTCCGAGTTGAGGACGTTAGACGACTCTCTGTGTTCGATCATCGCTGTCTCCGAAGGATTGCTGACATTCAGTGGCAACACCATGTCAGTAATGCAGAGGTTCGGCATCGTGTGTTCGGGCACAGAGATGATAATTCAATTGGTGTCACCATCTTGAAACACCGACTTCGGTGGCTTGGACATGTTCTCCGAATGTCGTCCCAGAGAATTCCACGTCGTGCATTATTTGCCGACTCTGGGACTGGTTGGAAGAAGCGGAGAGGTGGTCAGTGCATGACATGGTGTCGTGGCATGAAAGAAAGCTGCAAAGGACTGGCTTGTGTTGGTCCTTCACGACTCCCTGGTTGGGGTCTGAGAGATGGTGCTACACAGTGGCTAGAGACGTTATCAGATATGGCTCAGAATAGAAGCCAGTGGCGATCCTGCTGTAACCTTCTTTTACTTTCTTCATAAAAAGTGGTTGTGTCTCCCTTACCTGAAAGATTTCTTCTGATTGTACCTTTCGTTCCCTCATTACTACCACACTACCTTACACCAATCTCTTCGTTATTGTTCTTTTTTTTGCGCTCCTTAGCTTTTTTTCTATTTCTCTTCGAATTCTCATTGTTTTGTGTGGCGCATATATATTGGCGCTCTCTTGTACCAATATTCATGTGTTCAAATAAATAATACAGCCAATTTTCTTCTACCAATCCTTTTGGGATTAAACGTTTTCTGACCATTAAAACCTTAGATACGCTTGCCGTAAACTAAACCACTAACAAAGTCCCAATAAATGCCCAAAATAAGAGGTCTTTTACACAACCATTCCAGCAGTAGCTGGTCATGATGCCAATCTGAGTCCATGGTTAAGTTGCAAAGTGAGAATGCCAGTTTGTACATCGACTATAGCTGTCAAAATTGTTGCTGACTAGAAATAGACGATGGTCTGCGCAGAGCTACAGGAAACAATCTTCGTTATCTGACCTGCTCCTAGCTAATCCCCACTACCTACACAGACAACTCTTCTATGTGTCTGGGCATCCTACTTATGCACTCAAGTCTTCGTCTGGCGTCACATCCGCCGAACTCACTTTCTGAAGACCACTTAACTTATAGTGAAACTTATCTTTGATTGAATCTAAGCTGCAATATAAGAAAGCTTACTAAAAACGTCTTTTCTCATGCTAGTTCTTTCTCAATTTAAAGGAGCCTTCTATTCTAACAACCTTTATTTGGGATCCAATCGGTTAGTGCAGCCTCTACTCTGTTACTTAATGCAATATCAGCGCCACCTAAAAGAGAAAATGCTAGGGAGTCTCCGGTTTGGCTCAACGAAACATGCCTCATAAGCCGACAGATGAAGAGCGGATTAGTAGTACTTCACTAGGGTCTTAGATAAAAGTTCCGGATATACAGCAGACGTCGATATCAAGGTTTCTCAAAGACATGACCAAATTTGTTCCATCTGCATCAGTGTTGAACACTGAAAATGGTCATTTTGAATAAAAATATTTGAAAGAATTTGGAATTGTAATCACCCACCGCATCGAAATCGCGTAGATAGGACAGAACTCTATCCACAGACAAGCGGCTGGGTGAGTTCGAGAATACAAAAATTGGGGCTAAGGAGTAGTAGATAAGTAACAGAATGTGAAATAACAATGAATGTAACAAAACAATTGTGGATATTATTTGCATGAATAACAAGGCGGAAGAACATCTTGAAAATGATTATTATAATTGTATATAAGTCAATACACTACCCGAATGTTCATACAAAAATGGAGGCTTTTTAGATGCCTGCTCCCCCAGCTTTCGACTGAGGTGTAATTCACAAGGCAGTGTATCAACATCAGAAAATACAGTCTCATTGTAGTCGGTGATCAAAATAGATTTATGCATTTATTCCTTCAGAATCGAAGAGCCCATATATACCAGAGTTCCTCAATCCCCATAGGTGGACCCTCCGTATCTACCAACTCGGTTAGAGCTCCAGAATTTAATTCACTTTGATTCAGACTCCCAAGTACTTTCGCGTGTCATGTTTAGCTAAAAACTGAGCATATACGCCTGCACTAATAAATAAGTCATATTTTTTTATGAAATACTGTAGTTATACAATACTCAAGACTATCTGTCATATTGAATTAGCCACTATCTTTATGTATAACCATAAGTGGCTGATATTATTTAGCTCTCTATTCTTTTTGTTCACATCCTATGTAAATTCCATTATATTTTAGAATTAATAATGTCTAGTCAACCGATATCCAGACATCGGAAGCAGCACTTTCCTCGTTTAGAACGTCGAAAATTAATTACTCCTCTATCTCAGAATCTCCCTCTCCAAGAATATGATTCAGATGAAGATCCAGTTTATATTTCTAAACATCCACGAAGTTCATTAATATCCACTAGTCATAAACCATTCCGTCCAGTCAAAACAGATTCAAAAGATACCAATGGATCGTCTGGTCGTCCTGACAAACGTGCTAGAGATGAACACAATGAACAAGAACGTAGTCGTCGACGTGAACTTGCTGTTATTTATGAATTGATTCGATGTAGTTTTTCAAATGATGATTTACGATATCTTGGTCATTGTAATGGTCCTAAATCAGTTGATAAACTATCATATCCACAAGTTTTACAAATAGCCTACCAATTATTACGTGAAGAACAGCATAATTTGACTTTATTTGAAAAATCTTTAAATGATTTGAAATTAATTGAAAAAGAATTTGTCCGTGCCGGTCTCCCAGTACCTGAAAGGCCTAAATGTCCTTATATATTAGATACTTATCGAAAAATGGTTCAACTTGTCGATAATTTACTACGTCATGACAAACTGTAAGTAATCTATCTTTTTGTTTGTTTATTTTTTTAGTGAGAAAACAAAACAACTTCCTTGTTAGTTCTTTTAATTGTGTCAGTTTTATTTCATTATGCAATTTATGCCTTCATAGTTTATTAAAGACTTACTGCTTACGACAAAAGTAGGGTTTATTTATCCTTGTTTACTTTATATTTATTAATCTGAAAATAATTACCTCAAATGATTCTACTAATTAGACTTGTCTCAACATCCAAACAATTAACTAAGCAGTCGGTTTATATGTTCTAACTATTTTTCTAACATGTGTTTCTGCATAGATTCCCTCTGATTAGAGATAAAGCTTTTAGATCATTAACCTAAGAGATAAACCCCAGGCACTTTAATGGTATGTTACGTAAACTCCTGTTGTAATGTCACTGGATTTCTGTTGATTTGTAATTTATTTATATAGATGTATCATTCTGTTCCAATATGCTTTTGTTTACAATAAGAGGTTTGTGGAGATTGTTAAGCTTCATAGTTTACATCACGGAATTTTATATATATTTATTTATTTAAAGATAAACATTGCTACAAGGAGGCAGGAAATGCATATGCGCCACATAAATCATTCGATTTGTGTTACGGCTAGGATACTGTCCGGGAGCCCAAACCGAAGCAGGCAGTTTTCTTAGGGAGCCACACCCGGTGCCTTTGAATTAAAGGTCTGATCCACAAGGCAGTGGAGCAACGTCAGTCCCATGGTGGCCGGTCATCAACAATAGGTTCATGCGCCATTTGTTTTCTTAGGATCCTGGAGCCTATGTACACTGGTTTAGAATCGGGGTTTTCTTAACTCCCCTAGATAGACCCACCGTATCCATCAACCTGGTATAAACACTGGATATTCGCTTTTCTTCTCAATTTCGTAAACAAAAGTAATGCCAGGAGAAGGTAGTGAGTAGGACTTCTGTGGCGGTGGTTGTATGCACGTGGTCATGTGAGAGCATTCGTAGAGGGAGAGCTGACTCTCCCCACTTTCGGCTGTACCAGGGTATTTTGGGGCACATCACGGAATGGTGTTAGTAATATGGCCATTCAAAACTAGGAAGTAATAGACAGCTGTCTGGTTTTAACATGAAGACTCTTCAGCAGTGCTCATCTAATACCTGAAGATTTTGAACTTGATCTGCGATATAGTCCTGGATAGCAATTTATTTTCGCTAAATCAATCGAGCTGATAGTAATATTATGTCAACTATCATATCGAAACTCACATCCAATTGGAATTCCAGTCTTTTGTATTAACAATATTTTGATTATCATCCTATTTCCCGACCGTCCTTAACAATCTAAATTATTAAAATATTAACCTTCCTGTTTAAAATATTCTGTCATCATATTGAAACTAATTAATCTGATCTCGTTGTGTTTGGATTAGTTTCAGTTTACATCACTGAATTGTAATAATAATGATAATCTGTAATAAAGAGAATCACTTCTTTTGTTTTTATTGAAATTTGTTTTTCCTATACCCTAAACTACTTATTGTGTATGATTTTGTACTTTATATATGTTATCAAATTGTACTTGAATCTGATAAACTTAACTAATTCTATACTGATTGGTTTAAACAGTAAGTTTTGTGTCATTTAGTTATTATGTTTATTGTTTATGTATAGTTTGTTAATGAGATTCAACGACATTTCTTCATTTTAAAGTGTTCATACCGTATTTGTTGTTGTATACTGTTATCCGATTTAATTCTGATTATATTAGTTGTTATTTCAACAGTTGAGATCATGAGTCAATTGAACACCATTGAAAACCTGGAAGCACTGGACGCCCGTTTCGTCCTGTTGTGGGTTTTCCATGGTGGTCTAGCTTCAATTGACTCATGATCTCAACTGTAGAAATTAATACAATCTCCACAAAAAAACCCCTTCTGATTAGTTGTTATGTTTAAAAGGTGTTCTCATTCTATTTAATTAACCTTTTTTTTCTTTAAAATAAAGTTTATGATTTTCCATTGATTCCGGGTTTTTTATTTTTACAAATTATTTTCAACAGAATATTGTGATTTTTAATTTCTAGTGCTCGATCTGTTGATGGTGTTTATGAGGTGACTCCTGCAGAACGTGCAGCTATCGGTGATCAAGAAATGTCATTTCTTTTACCACGTTCACATCATACATCTACTAGTACTAGTAATACAACAGATTATTCCGATCGAATCAGAGGACGAAGATCGTTTAACCTTATCAATCGGTCAAATTATACTGATAATTATTTAGAACGAGATGATACAAGGAGTTGTTTTTCTAATTGGTCAAATGTTTCTGCAACTCAATCCAAATTCAAACGCTCCTCTTCTTCCGCGTCTCTTGATTATGGCGCAGAGGATGACACTGACTCAAATCTCTTACCACCTACACCTCCTTCGATTAATCATCTGTGTAGTACTACTTCTACTTGTAATAACGATATTAATAATAATAATAGTAGCAACCAATGGTTAGGTAATCCTGAATTCCTGGATATTTTATCCGAACTCAAAGAAGATCCTGATAGCAGGAATGAATTTGAAACACCAACTGAAGAAATTGATGATGATGTAGATGTTGATGGTCTTTTGTTGAATTTCATCTCGGATGAAACACTTAACTAAATTATCTTTAAATAAAGTACACATGTATATGTATATAGAAAATTATGTGTATTCATATCTTTGCTTTTCATCATGTTGTGCCTTCTTATATTATCTTCCATTTAAAGTACATATATATATTTTGCTACCGTTTATTACATTTCATTATTGTTACTATTATTATTATTATTATTATTCCCGATTTAGCTTTATTGTTTTGTATTGCTTTCTTCTATATTCTTTATAACTCAATAGTGTCTATGTATGTACTTCATTATTATCATTAATTTACTTATCATCACTAGTGTTTCATAAGTACATTCAACAAGAACTTTACGACACTGAAAAATGCTTCACTTACCATGTTCATGTTGCATTACACACACATTTATATATATATATAAATCATGTTTTTGACAGACATTGTGGATCAAAGTAATTACCTTGTGTTTTCTTTTCTTTCTTTTCTTTTAATCTTACACTTATCGTTGTAGTAGTAGCCTTAGTGTGTGTGTGTGTGTGAAGTGTGTTTATGCGTACGAAACAATTTCAATTCACGTTATTATCAAGGTGATAGTAAGTCATGTTTTCTAAAAAGAAAAAAGAAAACGAATGATCACATGATAGATAATGAGTAAACAACATAAACGTGTTCATGATTATATTTTAAAGAATTCATTCCTATGTATTTGCATCTTCGAGTATGCCACGGAATTATCTTTGTCTCTAATAGGAGCAGTAAATAACTAATAATATGATTTATAGGTTGTATACGTCGAAGATCGGTTTTATTTGTGGTGTCATTGAAAATCAAGAAGCGTTATAGTATGGGACCTCTTTGTACCAGGCACCCATTTAGGAAAAGACCAAAATCCTTCAAATCTTGTTGCGAATGCCTTACTATTAGAATCACTGGGTATTAACCAAGCCCTCATATAAATCGAATGATTTATGTGGCACATATCTATTTGATGCCTCGTTGTACCAATGTTTATATGTTTAAATAAATAAACTGAATCGGAATCCGTTTGGACAATTTTAACGTCAATCAATCTACGGCATATTGCGACAGTTGTCCAGTTCCACAGGTGATAACTGTTTCATTCTCGAAATATCTCAACTCCACCAGTAACAACTTTTCCAACTAAACTACAATAGCATAAGTATAAAATAGGTGTTAAAGAGATTTACTGAACATTACAATGCTTGCCCTTAACTATTAAGATAATTGTTTTAAGGTAACAGATTGATTAAAGGATTTACATTATCTGCATGCATCTTTTTAAATCACATAGATTGTGTAATTTTCATTGTAATCACAAATACGGAGTCCGTAGTATTTATCTTCAGTTGCGAGATCTATAGTTTTCTTTTTGTAGACAAATTACTGTCCCGCTTACACGTAAGGAAACGAATGAAGATATCTTTTTGTGAAGCTGTACAGTACCTAGAGAAAAGTTGCGAGGAATATTGACCATGTGTATTCAAACGTACACCTAAGTAAACTTCGTTTAGTAGGGATAATCCATCGGCCGTATCAGCTTCCACTTCACAACGAACCTGATCTTGACGTATGTGTCTGAATAATGTACTCGCATTGCATCAATTATAACGCTTCGCAAACGGTCCTTTCAAAAAGTTTTCCAAACTGTTGTCATCCCGCTTAAAAATCCATAAGCTTAGGCCTTCCACTTACCTGGAGATCGAGTACTCCTAAGGCATAGAACTGACACTAATGAACCAAATTACCATTGAAAATATAACAGTTCATGTGTGGTTTTGTTCTTAAACAAGAACAGACTATACTGCTACTAGTGTTTAGATAAGAATCAATGTATTTCTCCGCATATTTAATAAAGTAGGTTGGTATCGTTAGTCGTTCAACCAGAATGTAATCTCACACATTTCTGTAGTATTTTTATGGCTTATTTGTGAATACAGAATCACATCACGAAAATACTACTATATAAATTAGAATCTAGGCTTATATTCAGGTGACTTGACGTATATTAAGTCAGATGATTAGATGAAAAGTTGAATAATCCAGTCATGTACTTATATATATATATATATATATATATGATTATGATGTAAATGTTAGAAGTGTTGCGATTGATAAAAATGTTTACAAACGATTGTATTGTTGTTGCTATTCATTATTGAATGTTTAGTGATTATCTGAGAACACATTCATTTTCAGTCTAACTCAGTAACCAACCTTTATTTGACCATGTAGATCACCAACGTAGATGATCTTTGTTGAATGATTGGGGGCCTACACGAGTTAGATGAGAATGGTGCGACCAATCAGCTAACGTCGAAGTTACATCTCACGGTCAGCACCTAAATTGGACTACCTCTTCGTCTTATCAAGGTACTACGGCTGTTTTGAAGATTGTATAACACAAAGGACGTTACTACGGAAATATATTTGTAAGAAAGAGTACAGATAAGATAGTGAGCCCACCACCGCATTGGTCAGTTCATCGTGTACGACTAATCGATTCGCGTAGGTTATTGTTGACGTGGACGTGGAATCGATTATTTGTCCCATATTGAGTGACCCAACTGTCGGATGATTTGGCTACGGCTTAGTAACATTTCACTGGCCCTACAATCCGAAAGATGAAATCACCTGGTCATCTCCCATGGACGTTTCCGTTAAAATAAATATACACAAGATTTTTGTGATTAATGAACATCAGTGCTTTTATTATATAAACTGTAATTTACAGCATCGAGGTTGATCTGTAGTAGAATATTTTCGACATGAATGCTCTTGTATTGGTCAATTAGTTTTAGATGGACAACGTATGTCATTCAACTAATAAGTGTTAGATTCACTTGGTATTGTTTACTTGAATCTTCTCACTGATGTTAAGGACTGCAATTGATCAGTCTCTTATTGACATATATGCATAGTGTGCGTATTGCCTAAATTCACAAGCATTCTTAGCAAAGATGGATAGTGGCTAGAAGTGGAATTCAGTTTGACGCGCGTTACGTCGTATTTGGAACTCGTCACCTGAATGTACCTGCATCTCAGAGTGGCTAGCAGGACTCACTAGTTAAGTGAATAATGCAATGGTGTTTAAAGCAAAAGATACTGGGTTCGAGTCCCAGAGTGAACATCAACTCTGAGATGCAGGCTCAATCAGCTGATGAGTCTCAAATGGGACGAAACGCGCATCACACTGAATTCCACTGCTGACCACTACCCATCATTGCTTATAAAGTGTTAGGTTTATGAACTATCAGGTGTCCTGTTAGTCAGTAGAACTCATATATCATCTGTAAGTTATTGATGTATCCTTTTGCGATTAGAGCCTATATCACTTAATCATTGATCTATTCAAATAGTGACTAACCTGCTAGACTGGGTAATATTGTACATGATTGATTAGTGAAACGGCCGTCCAGTGCTTCCAGGTTTTCAATGGTGGTCTAGCTTCAACTGACTCATGATTTCAACCTGTGAAAATTTCTAAAACTCTCCACAAAACTCATTCTGATAATAATCAACTGCTCATTAGTGACTGACTTCAAGAAAAACTCCTGGAGTTCTAGTGAGAAGCCGTTACCAGTGGAGTTCAACCGGTCTGTTGTGAGATAACAACTCACTGAAGACAATGGTGTACGGTGGCGCAACTTCGTGGATTGGTTGAAGTTAGAAATTAACACCGTTGGATGCCGGCTCAGTGGTCTAGTGGTTAAATGCTCGCGCGCGAAGCCAGTAGGTCCTGGGTTCGGGCCCCGCGTGGTGCGGGATCGTGGATGCGCACTGCTGAGGAGTCCCATACCAGGACGAAACGGCCGTCCAGTGCTTCCAGGTTTTCAATGGTGGTCTAGCTTCAACTGACTCATGATTTCAACCTGTGAAAATATGAAAATGTCAAGCTAATTAAATAGATGATCACATTTCAATATAATCGATAGATATCCTAGACTAGAAAAATAGGACAGTGACTACTCAGATGAAGGTGAATTGTCTATTTCTTAAATAACACTAATATGAACTGAATATGTACTTTTGTTCTTTCATGTTTGTTTTTTCCAGTTCATATAGTCAAATGTATGTGTATTGTAATTATTATCTTCCTAATATCTGATATGAGGTCATCCTCAGAAAAATGTACTTTATATCGATGATAAAAGTCAAATAATTGTTTGTGTGCTTATTCATAAGAGTAATGTGTGATTCAGTTTGCACGTTTATCTTTAATATGGGGCTACTTTGTTCATTCGGTTTAGGCATGATTCTTTGATATTTCACAAGTTGAAATCATGAGCCAATAATAATGTAATAAGAAGACAAAGATTATCAGAATTATATAATGATAGATTTGTGCAATACATTTCGTACAATCTGATCACACATAAGATACTTGTTAAGAATATTTATATATAGAAAATAAAAGGTCAACTAGATTAGAGATGGAGGGTAAGAGGAGATAAGGATAATAATAATAATAAGAGTAATAATAATAATGTGAACACAATTCAAAACCTCATCACTCTGGATAATAAGCCAGTATTACCAGGGTAGGTTTAAGGTTAGAACAAACTTTTTTGAACACACAAAGGGAGTTTGAGTTTTCGTATGGTTAAGGCTTCAATAAACCTTAGTATACACCCTTTTACACTTTTATACAAACCACAAAAGCCGAGTTTAGATCAATCTTATGACCTATTTTGATTATACGTTTACCAATAGAGGATAATGGATGTTTAACCTCTACTCTTATTGGATCACTTGAATGTATTGGTTTCTGCAACCATTTTGGTACATGTTTACACACCCTAATATTGACTTATTATCCAGAGTGATGGGGTTTTGAATTGTGTTCACATTATTATTACTCTTATTATTATCTTTATCTCCTCTTATCCTATTTCTAGTCTAGTTGACATTTTATTATATATATATACATAAATGCTCTTAAAAAGTATACTTTGTGTGATCAGATTGTTCGAAATGTATTGCGCAAATCTATCATCACATAATTCTCATAATCTTTGTC